TTCAGAGTCCTAGAAGAAAATTCTAGACAAACTAGAAAAAAAGGAGGGCAAAATTAGTATTACCACAATAATACTGGAGTCTCAGCACATTTCCAGGATTGGTCTTTTCATTTAACTCCAGTGCATTTAGACTCATGCAGAGAATTAAATTAATCATTATGCAATGGGAATCAGGACAAGTTTCCTTAAGGGCATATTGACGTTTTATCTCTCTTGTTCATTGACAGATGTAAACAGGAGCTGCAAAAGAGTGAGAATCTCTTCTCTTGCCTATTTCACATTCGTAAATCAAAGTAGGGCTTAATCTAATACTCCTGTTCTTTCAGCTGGAAAGAATGAGGGAGGGCATGCACTCTCTGAGAGTAAACTGGCTGTGAGGCCAAAGAAGAAGTGTTCAATTCTTTAAGGAACATGGTTATTCTAATAAAAATAAACATCTAGTTATCTGAAACCACCGTCAGAGAAAGTGTTTATTTTAACTATTAGCTGTACCTGGTGGATTAGATTAATTCTTCCTCCTACTCTGAATATATATATTTTTTAATCATAAGTAATTCTGCTGACTGCAGAAGTCATAAGCAAGATTGTTGTGGTTGTGAATTTTAGACAATAGAGCCTTTAAAGAAACAACCTTAAGCAAACAAACCAAAACCCCCACAATCCAACTCAACCTTCATCATGTTACTTGCATGCCAAATTCTCACTAATTAGGAAGTGTTTTCTGCGTGAAATACAAGTTGCTCCTATCTTGCAAATGTTTCAGGGAGCTTATGAAAATTATGTACCTCAAACAAAATGGTGTTGGATAGTGTACAATAGTCACTTCATTTCTTTGTTGGCTGACCATCTTGGGTTAGTAGTTTAAGTAGCTTACTCTCAGCAGAATCAAGTAATCCTCCCTGATCATCCACTTTACATCTTAGCAGTGTTTCCTTATTCCCCTTTAGCCCAGTTCATCTGAACAGTGATGAATTTGATTCTCTTGACGTAGTTTCTCTGAGTTTGCATGCAGTATCTCATTGCAGTGCCTTACTCCAGCTTGTGTGTCACCAGTGGCCCACTCTGCCATCCCTCTTGGCAAGCCATGCACAGCACACTGCAGCTCTGCAGCCAGGCTCCTTCTCACAGACAAACTGAACAACCACCTTTTATAACAGACATAGCATCCACAGCAATTGGCATATTTACTTCTAATCAACTTTTAAAATGGCATCATTCAGCTGTGCTTAACCACATTACTTAATCTGCAGTCTGCTTTGCTATCGATTTCTTATACCCTCTACAAATATAGGACATCACTCAATACAGCATTTTCTTTACCTAACACATTTATCTGCCAGCCAAAAAGCTGAGAAATTTAGTAAATATGTTTGTAAATTTAGGATTACAGCTCTCCTATAAATTAGTTGATAAGGCTATTTACTGAAAACTTGCAGAACTATACACACAGTATTTTCCAAAAAAATCTCTGAAATAAAAATTAACATAAGGTACTAGAAAAATTAGCTTGGTTTAAAAAAAAGAAAAAGCTAAAACCAACTAACATATTTTTCCTTAAAGAAGACCCTAGCTCTATGTCCTAATTACTCTTATTTTCTATTCAGATCAGAGGAATTTCAGAGTTCATTGTTTTGTGTGAAGAATGGTAATTCTTGATGACTTATGAACAAAATAAAGGAAGATACATCTGGAAAGCTGAAAAAGTGGGAAATACTATATTTCCACTTAATTATTAGTTATGGGACAGAAAGAATTATGGATTGGTCCAGTGAGGAAAGAAGAAACCAGAAAGAACACAGAATGCTTTTAGATATTTATCAGTTGAAACCCTGACAAAAGCATGAAAAGAAGTTGCTGTGAAACATTTCTGCTCTTTCTAAAGTACATTTAAAGCGGACCTCACAAGTGGTACACAGGGTTTTCAGCTCCATGAATTCCCAAGATCTGATATTAAGCAGTTACATGGGAACCTCGTTTTACACTGAAATCTGAGCACATTTCTATCTCTCTTTGCAAGGCGGGACATCAAGAGTGTGGCTTGACTATTCAAATTTGAGAGCTCAAATACCAAAATCAAATTTTAAAAAAACCCACTTAATGGTAACAGTCTTGTAAAGATATTTTAAAACAATTGCACAAATTTTTGTACATGGGTTTCTTCATATTTGAATGCCCATCTTTCTCAAAATTGAACTTTTTAAAGTAAATTCTAGAAGAATAATTCTTACTTATACTGCAACAGTAATGAGTGCTTCTTGCATTAAAATAAAATTATTATGTTTCAAAAAGTAGCTTAGTTCAATGAATTTAAACTGTTTGTGAAATCATTACCCACAAGTCATTGAGAACTCAAAGAGTGGTTAAAAAAAAACCCCTATACATTTGGTAGAAAATATGCACATTCCTACAGTAAGTATTTAAACAGTCATTTAGCATGTGCATTCTTCTGACTGTAGTGTAGAGTCCATGATTCCATATTCCGACTTTAAACAAGTAAAAATCTTAACCTGAACAAAAATAGACTCTAAACCAGAACAGGCCATTATCAAACTCTACATTTCATCAAAATTAATAAAACACCCTTTGGTTAAGAAAAAAAATGTGATATGACTTATTAACCTCTTCAAAGAAACTCACAACATAAATTTCATAGCAGCTGCTTGCTCACATCACTGAAAAGAAGAGCTAAGCAAACAAAACCTTTGCCTATAGGGACTAAGCTGTAGTTAAATATGTTTGGTTTAGTATTCACTTCTGTGCTAACTTCAGCCAAGTTGTTCAGTTTAAAGGGAATGATGGCTGCGAATGAAGTTAATATGTTCACAAAAGATGAAATTTGAAAGAGCCAGTGTGGAAACCTGCTCTTATCAACAACTATATTCAATCAGGGGATTGTGTGTGCAGTCAATACAATTCAAATTGCAAATATAAACAATGAATAGCAAGCACTCAAAGGACCACTGACAGAAAACACGTTGTCAGCAGTTCACTGCCTGAATTATCTTAACAACAAACATTTGCTGAGTAATTGCAATCAACAAATTTGTTGAAACACATCCAGTTGACAGACAATTTATCAACAGGAAAAAGAAAGATAAACATGTGAAGAATCTTTGTAGTTCTTTCATTAATATTTGTGGTCCATCTTCACAGATTTGGAATTTAGAAAATTACCACGGGCCCTCCTGCCTCTGCTGTGATAATGCCACTTCTAATGCTATTTATAGCAGAATTACAAGCTACACACATACAGGTAAACAGCCTGTATCAGATAAGACTTTGTACTGTAAGATTATCACAAACACATGCTTTATTTGCTTATTCTCAAACTGTGTATGCACTTTAAAAGAGTAATAGGGTCAGGTGAAACACTGAAGAGGGAGACTGCTCTTTTCCTGGAAAAGAACAGTGTGCTTGGAAGGCCAAAACAGCCTGTGGGAGGTGGCACAGAAAAAAAGTACAGCATCATTACAAAGCACAGGGATTCTGATGCTCACATGCAGAAGCAGAGAGTTTGCTGGAAGTCCCAAAGAGCACTTAGTGATCCATCCAGGTAATTGGAATGTGTGTTGCTTTTCAGAAAGTCACCATGGTGTATCTACAGAAGCATTTTAATAGCTCAAAAGTGCACTTTTAAAAAGGAAATTTCTCAATTCTTCACTATTTCACACTCTTTCATACATCACAAAACTCTGATGGAACAAAAAATATGGATTCCTTCTGAGTGAAATTACACTGAAAATAGTTTTACAGGAGCAAACCTTGTGTGCTTTGGGCATATCTAACCTAAAGGGAATTCAGTCTTGCCAGGTATGTGGGTAGATGTCACTGTCTCACCATCAAATAATTTCCTCTACAAAAACACCCCTATTGCCCTCCAGTACCTGTTAACATGGATGTAGCTTGAGGTGATGGAAACCAAGCCAGGAAGTAAAGATATATATACACAGTCCTGATGAGATTACTGTATAAACCCTGTATTCTGTCTCACATGCCCATTTCAAGGTTTTCTTGGTGTTAAGTAGCCCCTTTTAAAGTATAGTAAAATTTGGGCTTTTTTGGATTTACAAGCCTTTTGTGTTCTGACAAAACAAAAATGTATAGTCAGATTTCAAGGTTTACTTGACCACCACTTGGTCATCTGAATGTCATTATTTGAATGCATTTGCAATTTAGAAATCAATAGCAACTGGAAAAAAAGTCCCACACAAACATTAGTAACAACAATGTTATTATTTCCTACTGACTAGAAAATGAGAAACCTAACTCCCCATATGTAAAAAGGCAAATAAGCAAGACCCAGGGAACTACAGCCCAGTCAGTCTCACCTCAGGAGCTGGAAAAATCGTGGTGCATGTCATAGTTTCCACCTGGAAACTGTGCTAAGGCCTATGTAACGTAAGGAGGTCATTGATGAAAGTCAGCATGGCTTCACTAAGAGCAAATTGTGCCTGACAAATTTGGCCTTTTATGACTCGGTTACACTCATGATGGATGATAAAAGAGTGACTGATACGTTCCTGGACTTGTGCAAGGTATTTGGCAGTGCACTACATGACATCCTTGTCTCTACATTGGAGAGACAGGGATTTGATGAATGGACTACTCAGGAGATAAGGAATTGGCTGGATGGTCACACCCAGAGTGAGGAAGCTTGAGTACACCACCAGGCTGAGTGGTGCAGCTGGCACACCTGAGGGATGCAATACCTTCCTGAGGGACCCTGGTGAAGAAATGCGCCCATGCAAACGTCATAGGTTCAATGAGCCCAAGTGCAAGGTCCTGCACCTGGGTTGGAGCAATTCTGAGCAAGGGCTGGGCAGTGGGAAAAACCCTGCTGAGGAGGACTTGGAGTACTTGTGGATGAGAGGCTGGAGATGACCTGGCGGTTTCCACTTGCAGCCCAGAAAGCCAATCATATCCTGGGCTGCCTCAAAAGCTCTGTGGCCAGCATGGAGTGGGAAGGGTTCTCCTTCTCTACCCCGCTCATGAGATCCTACCTGCAGCACTGTGCCAACCAGCTCTGGGGTTTCCAACATAAGAAGCACACAGATCTGCTGGAGTGAGTCCAGAGGAGTCACCACAAAGATGGTCAGAGGGTTGCAGCATCTCTCCTATAAGGAAAGACAGAGAATTTAGGCTACTGAGATCTGGAAAGAGAAGGCTCCAGGAAGATCTTCTAGCAGCCTTCTAGTACTAAAGGGGGCCTACAGGAAGGCTGAAAAAGAACATTTGAAAAGGCCATGTAGTGACAGGACAAGGGGGAATACTTTTAAACTGTAGGGGACATGCTTAGAATTAGATGTTGTGAAGAAAATTTTCATCATGAGGGTGGGTGAGGCATCAGAACAGGTTGCCCAGAAAAGTCACAGATGCCCCATCCCCAGAAGTGCTCAAGGGCAGGTTGGAAGATGACCCTGTCCATAGCAGGAGAGTTGGAAATAGATGACTGTGAAGGTCCCTTTTGACCCAAACTATTCCATGATAATTGCTAGTGGAGCAGTATTCTAGCTCTTTTATCATGCTCAGGCTGGTGTTTGTGCTTTCACCTATCTATTTGCAGATGCAGTCGTGGTCATATGCATACCCTGTTGACAAGCAGGTGACAAGCAGGCTTATTTGGTCCATCATTTCAAAGGTATTCCCAGCATTAAGCCATGCAGAGTATGCTGCATGCCATACGGAAATAATAAAAGTAGATTAAGATATTTTTTACATATTAATGTATAAACTAAATTCCCATAGACTTAATTCATTGCAGCACTCAGAAGTGGTATTTTTTTTTCCTTCCAAAATAGAGAATATTTATGTAGAAGAGAGTAGGTATGCTTGGGAACAAGCAATGAGTATAAATAAAACTAAAGAAATCAGAGAAGACTTGGCATAAATAAGCCAATTACATAGACTCTTGAACTGAAATCTTTAATAATGCATAAAGTAAAACACAGACATGCAGCAGAGCTAATGCTTGCAAATGAGCAAGTCTACGATGTGGAAACATTTTCCCGAAGCGAGGCTAACATAAAGAGTACAGTATCTAAAATGATCTCTCCAAAACCCACCCCAAACCAAATCATGAACCGAAAAAAAATAATTTAATAAGATAAAAATATATAAAGAAGAAAATCTATTCAAATTGCATTTAGAAAAATTTCAACTGAAAAGAAGTTGAAGTCCAGTGGAGACCAATATATCATAATAAACCTTCTGTAAATAAATTATCATGTTTCCTCACAGACCCCCTTGACAATTTAAGATCTTCTCTCAATTTAAGATTTAAGATCTTCTCTATTGTAATCCAGCTAATTTCATTCAGTCACTAGGTAGGCATGTGGTTAGTTCAGCTCACAGGGGTTCCTGGGGACAACTCCACTGTTCCACATTTCCTCCTAAATCTGAGTTGCCATAAGATGCTGGAACGAAAGCCCTGAGCACTAAAAATCACTCTACAATTGCAGGAAAGCTGAAATGGTGTAAATTCCTTCCCACTAATAGAGAAATGGAATTGAGTGGAAGACTGCAGTTAGATGGCAAAGGGCAGCTAGAACTCTCTCATTTCCACCCGAGTGCTCCTCCTCAGGCTGCAGAGAGGCGCAGAGATTCTGTGTGGGTTGCACGGGGACAGGCATTGAGACACTGCAAGGACACAATGCCAGTCCTTGGTAGCTGCTTTGCACAGCACAGGGCAAGGAGACCTCCTCACACACTGGTACCCTCCTAAACTCATCAAGGTGCCACATGCTCGCTGGGAATTGTGACTCACAGAATAAAATACAGAAACTGAATTATGCCACAGTTTCTAGGAACTCAGAAAATATGTTTTCCTGTTGTCTCATATTGCTTGACTTTTACAGTGATGTGAATATTGGAAGAAAGTTTAAAAAGAAAGTAGATACCCTTTGTATGGTGTCAGTTCTGTGACCATCTTCCCTGGTCATTACCAAATAGTTGAGCTTATTTGCAATATTTAAAATTTATTACATGGAATTTCTTGCCTCACAAAATGTTTCAAAATTAAACTTTTATTTATAATACATACCATAAAAAAGTATTTTTAAAATACTAGTTAATATGTTTGGGAATAAAATTTAGTTCCATCAAACCCAAAACTCCATTCAAATACTTTGATTTTTTCCCCACATAATGCATTAGGTTTGATAAAAAATTAACCTTGGATCTTTTGAAATGAGTATTTCAGTAATTTCAAGATATTTAAGCATGGTTTCAAGTATTTCAAAGTTTTGGAACACTTTAGAAAATTCCTCCAACATTTTAGAATGAAAATTTGAACTTGACTCACATTTTCTCATTTTTTTTCCACATGAAACCATATTTGGTGAGAAAATGTGCCAAGCTTTAAGCAGAACATTATGTATTCTATCACATCAAGGGGTGATTATTTTGTGACTAGTTTAATATCTCACTTCAGGTCGCACATGCAAAAGCTGTAGTCGTTTTACATATTTTACCTTTTGCTTTATTCATGAATAAGGAAGTAGGATATTATAGGACCTGACCTGTTGGTCAAACTTCCAATAGCAATTGCAAGCAATTATGGCAAGGTGAAATGTCACTGTGCACTGAACCCCTCCTTGTTACTCCATCTACAGATTGGGCAGAAACCATCTTTGTTTTATAATGTAGTCTGAAAGAATTCCCAGCTTAATCAAGAAAAAAAATGTAAAAAACTGAATTCTCTCTACACTAGATTTTCACTGCTTGAAGAATCTTCAAAAACTTATGTTATGTTTCCTAGATGTATTTACATCCCATAATTTTTGTCATGGGACTCATTTTAACCCGATGCTTGTATGCAAAAAATACAGGACAGATTTTTTTTTTAATATGTACTATACTGCTTATTTAACGATATAAACACTGATAAAGTTTTGGCTATCTGAAAAAAATCATTGATGCTGTCTAACACCACCAATTTCCATCTATATGTTTCACAAAAATTCAGCCAGAAACTGATCCACAAAGCTAATTACATATTACCAGTTATGAAGTCATGAATAGATTTTTCAAGTTTATTTTATTCTTTACACTATAAACCAACAGGAATGCAAAAATTCACTCTCTTTATATTTCATTATTGATTATTATCTAATAATTATCAATTGTTTGTTTCTATTTGCAATAAAATCAGTTTACTGATTTCCTTACAAATAGAAATAATGAGAAATGTAAAATAATATATTGTGATATAAAATAATAAGTGTCTCTTCTGAGATCCACAAATCCCTCCAGCAAAATTAATTACCCAATAACTGCAATTAAATTAAATCAAATTCCAGCACCATAAAGCTAATCAGCCCAGAGAAAATAACTCCAACAGCCATCTACCTGTAAGGTCCATCCCCTAGGATGCATCCTGCAGGTTTTTTTTCTACAGACTGATGCATGACCAGATAGAAGAAATTCAGGCCATGTGGTAGCAATGGAGTAATCAGGTACAGAGAGTTAGATCTCTTCACAGAAAACATCCTTACAACTCCCTCTAGCACTTCTTCATGGCAAAGACGATCCAAATTGGACATCTGAGGGAATTCAGGTTGTGACTGCAAGGTCCTGGAAGGACACAAATTCCTTTTGTAACAGGAACTTCAGTGTCTTAGGGCTCTTAATACCATCAACAAATCTTCGGGCACATGTTTTACAATCATCAGTTTAAAAATGACCTTCATGGCGATCTTCAGGTATCTACTAGTACCTGAAGCAGATCCAAGATCAGAAAGGTCAACATGCTTTAATGTCCTATGCTGGAGTCACTTTCTGGCCAAAAGAAGCATGACAAAAGTCTGGGGGTGAATGGCAGGAACCAAAGTGATTGCAAGGCCAAAATCTGTCACCATCTCTCACTTTAATCTGATAGAAGACCACCTTAAAGTATAGGACAAGAATAAGAATAGCTACTACAAAAAGAATTCACAAGGACAAAAAATAATTCTAAACTATGAAACACTTAAAAGTTACAAAAGAGACATTTAGAAACAATGCAGGTTTTGAGGGGTAGGATAAGGAGAATAAAAAGTTGTGGCAGGGAGGTAGAGAATGTAATAGAGGAGACTAAGTAAAATGACATAGAGAATTTAAGAATTGTGCAGGGTGTGAAAAGCCAGGAAAAAAAAATCCACTGTCAAGCCAAGACACGAAGCAGAGATGTAACCATTCTTATCTGTACTTGAGGGCATGAAATAATTCCTTTTTTAATTTTGCTTTTTTAATCCTGTCAATTGGAGCTGTCACTGTGGATGTAATAGCAAGTATCCCGATCACAATATCAAAGACTCTTCACTGACACTCCTTGAAATAGCATTAATATCTGCTCACTGTGGGTACTACATTTAAATGTTCATGTGCAGTGCTGTAGCTCCCCCTTAGTCAGGTATCAAGCTAATATTTCACACTCTGCTTGTAAAATTATTAACAGCTGGCCTAATGTTAGAGCACTGGAGTGTGGTTTGCTAGAACAAGACACTGCTAATAAGACTATTTCCTACTCTATCATGTTATTACTGACTCTGTATTTCCAAACATCAGAATTGGCCTTTAAAATCAAAGCAGGATTTAACTTTCCAAGAACAACGGGCCTGAACCAAGATGTCAGGCTTAAATTATGGGGAAAGACAAATTTAAAATCTGAGTTCATGAATTCCACAAACATTCTCAAAAAAACCCTGGCTCAGTAAAATCCAGGAAGAAATGTCAGGTAAAAGAGAAATATTGAAATCCAGGTAGAAATAGAGAGGGTAAATTTGTGATGATCCCACAAGATCCAATACTTCACCGTCTTGGTTAATGCTGTTTCATCACTATCCTCAGACCCTTGCTCTCACTCACTTTGGCATACAGAAATGACAGGGACAGGAAAATTTAAAAACTACAAAGTCTTATACAGCAATACAGTAATTACTAAGTTCATGGACAGCTACATAAGAGAAAATGAAATCACATGATATGCAGAGGTCAAGCTGGTGTATAGAAAAGAGTAGTTTTATACCTTAAAGCAGTGGACTGCTTTAAAATGCTACAAGTTTCCTCTGAAAATGCAGATGATTAATACTGAATGACCTGGGGACTCCTATCTGCTTAAAGGATGTAATATCTAATT